TGAGCTTTCACTTCTTTGTTGGTGTCTCAGGAAAGTAGTCTTTGCTCTGAGGAGGTGACATAAGTTAGCAGGAGGAGGAATTCAAAGCACTTCCAGGAGTGGTGGTAAGAAGACTGAGTTATAAATGGGGGAACCACCCCCCACATATGTGTGCTCCCAAAGATCACTGGGCATCCTGGGAGACAGTCTCTATAATAGATGTAATGACCACCACCCACGCCTTTGAGAGTGTGCACCACTGACTCTTTGAGAGTGTGTAACATTGGAACAGCACCAGAAGTGCAAGCCCACACTCGAGGCTAAGGGTTGGGATTGTGGGACTCCCCGTCAAAGAACTGTGGGAGTCCCACACTCTTGCTCTACACTCAGCGATTTGTCCTGGAGGTTTGAGGTTGGTGGGCACTTTGGTTTCAGTAGGCAACATCAAGTCACAAGGAGTCAGCCCAAGCCCTGCCAGTAATCAAGGCAAAGAATTCAATTCCCAGGAAACTGTGACCCTACAGACCAAAGAGACCCTGAACAGGTTCTCCAGATGAGATGCACTCCTGGCTCCCCCACCATGGTGACAGACAGTTGAGGCCTCTTTGTAAATGGGAAACCTCAAGTCAGGAGAGAGTCTCAGGAAACACCAGTAAAGGAAAAACAGGGTTGACATCTATCAAGCCACTTGGTTTAACCAGAAGAGGACCCCAGCCCAATTGTGTCTTGGCAGATGCGTGAGACTGATTCAACTTGTCACTTCCAAATCATGTATTAGAGCCTTGACCTGAGCAGATCGGCCTTAGGACACAGGGTGGATTCCTGTCCTCTGCAGGAGTCCCAGTGATCTCTTTAGTGAGCATTAAAGGGGCCACCTCCATCCAAACAGAAAGGATATGACAGATAATAAACTGAACTATGCTGTGGATCCCAGTTGGAGGGTGGGCAGAAATAGTGTCCCCCATAGTCTGCTTTAAGGTATTTGGAGGGGTCATGACCTAAGCCTGGAGTTGCATGTCCCTTTTGTAGAGGGTGGAGTCTCAGGCAATGGGAAGTATCAAGATAAAGGAGCTGAAAGAGAACTAAAGAGCCTCCAACTCCATAAGGGTTCAGTTAGAAAGACTCTTATCCAGTCCCACTTTTAACATTTTTGCGTGTGTGTGTGTGT